AGTTACTCGGGAGGCTGAGGCAGGAGAATTGCTTGAACCTGGGAGGCAGAGGTTGCAGTGAGCCGAGATCACGCCATTGCACTCCAGCCTGGGCCACAAGAGCAAAACTCCGTCTCAAAAAAAAAAAAGAGGCTCCTGCACAAGCTCAGACAAAAACCACCCCACTTCATTGCTTCTTGGTCCCCCAAGGGATGCTGGAGCTCCTGGGGCAAACCCCTTCCCCACACACCAACCTCCATATTTCTGACTCCTGCCATTTATCTTCCATTGAGCCTCAGGTTCTGGTGAGAATAACAAGGATAGACAGGAGTTCACAGCCCAGGGCTAGAGGCACCCCAGCTCCTAGGCAGTGACCTTAGAAGTTCTGATTCAGCCAGAACTCAGTATCAAAGTGCCTATGCGGTGCCTGTTCACCAACAGGGAAAGATGATGCAGAAACACGGGTCCCCGATGATCTGCGCTGGGGTGGGGCCTGGCAATCATCGGAGCCAATGCTTTTCCCAAAACACTAGCATCAGGTTTCCGGCCCACACAACCCTGGGCTCAAGTCCAAGCAACAAACAGGGTCCTCGTGCAGTTAAAGCTTTGACACTGGGTGCAAGATGCTTCAAGGTTTGAGAAGCCCCTGAAGATCCCCTGGGAATGCCTTCAATTCTAAGGAGACTGTCTCATCCTACTTCTCCACTTGATAAAAAGGGAACCCTGAGGCTCATTGAGGTGAAGTGACGTACCCCAGGTCATCCAGCAAGGTGAGAGTGGAGCAAAGGCTTGGTACCATAGCATATGTCCATCCATCTCCTTGCCCATTCATTGTCTTCCAGTAAAATGTAAGCTCTGAGAAGGTAGATTTTCCCCTCCTTTTCTACAACTGCTGTCTCCCTTGCATCTAGCACAGTGGCTGGCACAGAGTAGGTGCTCAGTAAACATCCAGTGAATGAATCCAGGTCCCCTGACTTCCCTGGTTCATTTCACAAGGCTGATGTGAGCACCTACTATGTGCTACAAGCTGTGGTAGGTGCTGGGGATAATATGCGAACAAGACAGGACTCTTGCCTTTAAGGCACTGAACTCTTGAGGGCAGGATGGTAGGTATACAGGCACAGATCAACTGTGTAGTCACGCAGTCTTCTAAATGCTACAAAGGAGATTCAGGGCTTGTGTGATCTGGACTCAGCAGGGAAGTCAAAGAAGGCTTTAGACCAAGGCTTAAGATAAAGAGGCTAAGACGAGGTTCCAAGCCCAGAGCACCCCGGGACCCCTCCCCTATTCTTCCATGATGGTCTTCTGATTAGAAACTCTAGAGTCTGGGAGGCCAAGGTGGGAGGCTTGCTTGAAGCCAGAAGTTCAAGACCAGCCTGGGCGACAAAATGAGACACCATCTCTATATAAAATAAAACAGAAATTTAAAAAATAAATAAAAATAACCCTGTGAAGCGGCCGAGACGGGCAGATCACTT